TGCATATTTCGACGGTCGTCCTTGGAAGCGCAAATGTTAGACGATGGGGGCTCGACGTTGAAAGCCATTGAGATGGCTGAGAACTTACCAGATTGTTATATCAGTGCTGTTAAATAGGAAGTCTCCGTGTTTCCCATAACCCGACAAGAAAGATATCTTGATGACTGCTGCTACAGTCGCGCTGAAATAGCTGTCAGCGGGGTTCAGTCTCAAAGCTCCTACAGAATACGTACAAAATACCGAGAGACAGCACTCCAATGACGGCAGATTTGACTTTCCAGTTGAGTTGCACCTTCCACATAATTGGTACTGGCAAGAGAGCGAAAAGAAGATCTGTCAAGACAGATACGCCTTACAACTGTTAGTCTAAGGAAAATCATAGCCTCCGTGAAGAGGGACATCGTTTAGCTTACTCGAGTTGAAGAAGGCGGCGAACTTGAGATCTGCTTGTGGAATGCACTTTCCTCCTTCAATAGAGAAATCCCAAGTGAATGCTAACGGCTGGCATTGGAAGAAGACGGTCACTAAGTGAAATCAGCGCGAGATCGGAATCAAACCGCCAGTCAGACTGGAGCCTTGGACGTAGATCAACCCACAGAAGTTACCAACTGCCGAAAATACCGTAAAAATGATCATTCCCCAAATGACGTGTCGAAATTTTCCAGATGGCGTTATTCGCAGGAGAAACATGCCTACACTAACTTTAGCCAGACACAGCGCGATGAGGCACAAAGGCTGCGTGACGAAATTGAGATGAAGGCCTGTGACGATGTTGCTCTTCGGTTCGATGTATTGAATGTGTCGACCTGCGCCATACTGGACTTCAGGAATGATGACCATCATTTCTGCGAAAATCGTAACCTTGACAAACACGTTTTCCTTAGCTTTGACCTTCTCCAAACCTGGCCCGCACCTTCGACGACAAGCCGAATGAGAGATCTTACCGTCGCTGCGATCATGAAGTAGTCGTCGAGGCCGACAAGCCGGACCAGTTTCGCCCTAACCCATACTCTCAAGATAACAACCGCCACAGAAAGGCCAACCAGAGTTCCGCACACCACGAGGATCTCGCCGCCTCTATTGACGTCGGGTGGAAAGGGGACCGAGTCATCCATGACGGACTAGCCTGCAGGGACAACCTTGAAAGCAATGATGTGAAAGTGCAAACAAGACTTCTTGGTGATGAAGAAGAGTCTTGGTCTCCTTCACAAGCTAAAGATGGGCCGCATGAGCTGGGCCGCGCTGTCACTTTGTGGCACATGGCGGATATTTCCCCTTCCCCATTTGAATCATCTCCTTAAGGTTGAAGGCCTGGGAACATAACGGTATCTACCCGCTCTCGGCGATTGACTCAGTATTCTGCGAAGAATTTGACACCATGGTCCGGGGGTGCCCATAGATGAATCAAAGCTGCGGAGTACATCTTGCCAGAGTTGGTCAAAGGTTCCAACATGGCTCATCTTTAAGTAGATCCGTATCCGTACCATTCCCCGCCTAATCAACATCACGAACATGTTGGCAAGGGTGGCATCCCCCGGTGGGTCTATCAAAGTACCGATCTAAGATGTCTCCATGCCAGCGTATGGATCAGTCACCGTAAGAATATGTTTGGAGAGCAGTTCAGCTTAGATCAATAAGACCATCTCTGTTATGCTCACAATGGGATCCGGTGTGATGGTGCATCTGTACGAAGTATAGTTACGTGCAGGATCCGTGTGCGGCAGTTTGTACTGCCGGCTCGAGAACCGTTGGCTTGGGTCAGGGGTAAGCCCTGCCTAGCATAACTCAGTAGTAGCGATTGGTAGGTACTAACGGTCATTGATTCCCACAGTTGCCCTGCTCGAGAGGTGATTTTTGACGGGAACATCCGCGTCGCATGGGAGCTGCCTCTTCTCGACAAACAACCGACCTGGTAGGCTAGCCATCATCTTGACCCGTCCTGCACAGTAACGTGTGTCAAGTGAGCCTTGCCGAATGTGTATAATTGAAAACTTTGATCGGGCTGGTATTGCCTATTCTGTTATGCCTGCAGTGTGTTTACACAATGCGCTCTTTAAGCCACGAACATTCATTCATCGGGGAATTGGTCGCTGCAGTGACGAATGCAACTAGGTTTACTGCAAGGATTGAACCGACGGGATACTGGAACGATCAATGCGCCCTATCGTGTTGATGTTGTCACAACTTGTATTTTTGATCAGACACCCCACACTGAACCTCTCGCAATGAGCATTTTCCCCTGGGGTTCGAAGCCTTGCGGCAAGAGCACGTGAAGGAATCTGGCCTTAAGATGGCTGAACGGAATTTCTTGACATCTATACATCAGTCTCAAAGCTATAGACAGAAGCCGAGCTCCGAAAATCACGCGAGCACACTCTACGACCGAGAAACTCCAGGTCCGTGGCAACTTGTAGTTCCGGAAGACAGGCCGATTGAGAAACCACTCGTGGGGGCTACGATCAGCGATTCAATGGCCAGGGATGATTCTGTCATGCAAATACGGCTCGAACAAATTTGATCATATTTATCAAATCTTTGAAGTTGGTCTACCGGCCATCCAAAGATTCTTGAGTATGCGCCGATGCTTTGCCGACCCCGGCGCCCCGCTCTCCCCTCCGGTGAATCTAACGGCGTCAGCACCGGGACGAAGCGGTGGCTGCTCTTCAGTAGAATGTCACTATCCCGTACAGAGATAAGTACGATGATGATAGACTGATACATAGCCAAGGCTACCAAATCACCAAGATCTATTAAGAGAATTGTAGTATACGGGTACGGCAGGGCGGCACGGGCGGAAAGTGAGGTAAGCATGCGGTGAGCTTGGAGAGGTCTTCAAGATGGTTGAAAATTGAGTTGGTTGGTTCGGATACAGCCAGACTTCTTGCCTTGCCACTCCACCGCAACATCGCAGGCATCTTGCATACAGCGCCGCAGACCTGCATCGGTTGCCGACTCAAAATGATTTAGCATATTTTTGATCGAGCCACTGAAGCTTCCTATCGAAATGACTGTGGGAATTCTCCAACTTACCGGCATGATGGTCCGCAGAACCCCTGCTGCGTACGCTACTACGCTCGCCTTTATTAGTCTCGGTAACTGCTGGTCAGTGCCGGTGTCTTTCCCAACCTTTGTCGTGACCAGAGCGACAAACACTTTCTTGTGATCTGCATCTCATTTCAATTTGACAGAGCCGTGCAACATGAAGGTTTCGTCTGTCTACTCGTCAGCCGCCCTGGCATCGGTCGCGTTCGCCGCACCCTCGGTCAAGCCACGCGGCGACTCAACCACAGACGGGGCTCAGTTTGCCGATCTCACTGCCAGCATCCAAGCCAATGTGCTCAAGTCACTAGATGAGCGGGAGGCCAGGCTGAAAAAGCGCGGTCAATCAGCCAACTGCACGACAAGCAACATGGTCTTCCGTCGAGAGTAGTAAGTGGTGGAACTTGGGCTAAAAAAAAAAAAATACTTGATGACTGACAAGCAAATAGTGGCTCGCTTTCATTGACCGAGAGGCTTTCTTATGTGAACGCCGTCAAGTGTCTTCAAAGCCTGCCGCCCCGAACGCCGGCTAATGTCTCTACTGGTGCTCGATCTCGGGTATGTAATATTATCCCACGGCTTTGTCCGAACCTTTTTGCGCGGTAACCCGAGCTCGACTGACTCGTTGCACAGTTTGATGACTTTGTCGTGACCCATATTCAGCAGACCATGACGATCCACTACACAGGTAACTTTATGCCGTGGCATCGCTGGTTCGTGCATCTCTACGAGAAGGCCTTGCGCGAGGAATGTGGCTATACCGGCTATCAACCCGTGAGTTCAATCTCGATCTTTCTAGCTATCTTCCTTTTGTTAACAGTGAGGTATCAGTACTGGGACTGGCCCAAATACGCTTCTGCACCTGAATTGTCCCCTATCTTCAACGGAGACCCTTACAGTCTTGGCGGAAACGGCGAGTACATCCCGCATGACGGGCCTGTCATTGAGCCTCCCGAAGGAATTGGCGGCTCAAACATCCAGCTGCCCGCTGGCGTCGGTGGAGGATTCGTGACTACTGGACCTTTTGCAAACATGTCTGTCAATCTTGGCCCCGTCGGTGGGCTTGAGGGCACGGCACCCGGGCCGGACGGTGGTCTAGGCTACAACCCTCGCGGCTTGAAGCGCGACGTAGGCCCGGCTATGAACCAAAGATACGCCAACTACACAACGGTGTTGAGTGAGTATCTCTGCCAGCGCTCAACAAGTGACGGCCGATGCTGACGGACCCTCAGACTTATTGCTCAAGCCCAACATCTCAGAGTATAGACTTTTGAGCGAGGGAGTTCCTTACACCCCTGAGATTGGACCGCACGGAGGAATACACTACGCCATCTCTGGTGATCCAGGTGCGGATCTTTTCACGTCCCCTGGCGACCCTGCATTCTGGGTTCATCACGGGATGATGGATCGCATGTGGACTTTCTGGTAAGTTTCTTATATGGGTGAATCATCGTATCTGATGGACTCTTCTTAACATTTGGCTCCCAGGCAAGCGCTCGATCCTGCCGCACGCCAACAGGAATTGAACGGAGGTGACTACGGCCACATTACTTGGGCCAACAGCCCGCCATCCGTAAAGACTCAGCTTACGGACGTCATCGATATGGGATACACGGGTCCCTCAATCAATATTGCAGATGTGATGGACACCTTGTCAGGACCATTCTGTTACTTCTACGTTTGAGTATCCGACGAATAGAGCAATGCCGACAGAGCTCAGGGTCTGGATGAACATCGGCAGCTTATTCGATGAGCATGGAATGATCGACTAAAGGGTATTACGTAGTGTCTAATGATGTAGATATGAAGCTATGGAGATACGATATCACACAATGAAGAGTGGCGATCTTGTTGTAAGCTGCATGAAGACGACAGTGATACGCTATACGACGCATTTCCACTTCCCTTCGCGCAATCTATCGAAGGATTGCCCTCCATTCTAGTACAACAGCACATTCTATCTATCCCAGCATAGACTTCAGCCATGTTCGAGGCCCCTTCTCAGAGTCGTGCCCCTCAACACCCTTATGCGAGCCCTCGATGATTTCGGTATCAAGCGGCAAAACTCCTAGCTTCCTTGCTTCGTCGTCAGTGAAAGTCGCATAGTAGTCCACCTCATCAATAACACCGGCCTCAGGAGGGGGCCAGATGGTGTTGATGCCTAGATGTAACAAGAATGATATGGCAAAGCCTAGCGGAAACGCTAGGTAGTAAAGATTGATCCAACCCTCGGCAACTTTGACGCTATTAGGTGTAACACTGGCAGCAAAGCCTGGGAGCTGTGTTGCGAAGCCGCACACCCAAGCGATAAAGGTTCTAGGGTTGAACCCCTTATAGTAGTAGAAAGAGCCATCTGGACGCGGGTGGTAGAGGTCTGACAGCTTGATTCTGCGTCTGCGGATGATGAAGTAGTCGCAGATCTGGATGCCGATGATGGGACCAAGAAAGACGCTGTAAGCTGAGAGGACGCTGATGAAGACCGCTGCCGATGACAGGAGTTCCCATGGGCAGAGTGCGATACTCAGCACGAGACCGATGTAAGCGCCGCGTCTGATATTAATGTACCGACAGAACAGACCAGACAGATCCATGCCAGCGGAGAAAGCATTGTCAACAGAGTTGATGCTGAGTTGGATACACAGGAGGCCAAGACCAGCAAAGAAGGCACCGGCGCGGCTCTTGGCGTTGTAGTCTGAATCTAGCCATGCTTGTACGATCAAGGGCGGGTTCCAGATTGGTTCGCCGTAGATAACGCCAGTTGCAGAAGCAGCCAAGCAGCCAAAGGTAGGGAAGATGGCTCCAAAGAAGATGATGCTAAACCACTGTCCGAAGACTTGGTCTCCAGGCTTTCGAGCAAAGCGACAGTAGTCCGGCTGGTTGGTCAAACCGACGGCAATGCTGCCGATAACTGTAGTGATGCCATGAACAATTTGCCAGCCGAGTTCGCTCGAGGACATTTGCTTAGACCCTTGGCGAACTAGGGACCCTGCTTCGCCGGCTGTTGCCAGAGCCCATATCATGATGGATATGAGCGTGATCGAGGAGATGATGTTGAAAGCCAGAAGAAGTTTCTGAATCCTCTCCGGCCGGATGTAGAGAATGGGGATAAGGAGGATGTTGAAGATGATCCAACCAATGAAGTCTTTGGTGGTGAGGTGCGAGGACTCGGGGAACACGTTGCCTAGTGATTCGAACGATGGGAAGATTGCCGAAAGACTATAGTTCATAAGCACCAGGTCACGCAGAGGCTATTGATGTTTTTGTTGGGAGATACTCACCAGTTGACAACTGTTAAACCTCCGGTCCACGACTGTACAGCAAACCACACCAAACTGAGAATGATTCTCTGAATTAGGATGATGTACTGCCCGTACACGCCCCAGATGTACCGGGAAACGACCGGAAATCCTATATGCCAATGTGCGCCGACATGTCCGTTGAAGATGGCAACGAGGGCAATGATAACTTTGCCAATGACGATGGCAATCACGCTCTGCCACACAGAGAGTCCAGCAGCGACAAGGGATGCTCCGAGTTGCCAATTGGAGACTATTAACCCGTTAGTTCATCAAACGACATTTTCGCCAACGATGTTTCACTGACTTGCAACCTGGTTTGTCAACCAGAATGAGATAAATGTTGAAGTTGTCCATCTTCGACGGCTTGGAGGAAGGGGCCTGATGTCTTCGTTGATCCACACGTTTGACTCGGCTACATCAGTGTCGGGCAGCCGAGCCCATCTCAAAAACCCGCTGAGACTCATGTTTACCACTACGAATTCATTGATTGGACTTGCAGAAAATCTCTAACCAGCAAGCTCCAGGCTCGGATGAGGGAAATTCGCTTGGTTTAATGGATCCGCATCCGACGAGAGTCCACGCTCACGCTCAACTTGGATGCATTTCTTCCGTATCGGTAATGCCTCTGATACGTTGCATCGGCGCCCGCTTGGCAGACCTTCGCGTCATCCTAAACCGCAGCCGATAACCCAAACACCAGCATTATGTACGTGAAGGTATCAACTTAGGCTATTTCTTATCGTTGGAGAATGCCTCCAAACACACCATAGGTGTGAAGCTCTTATCATAGTTTCACGCGAATGTGGAGCAAAGACGGCGATAAGAACGGCATTGGGCAAGGTCTGGAGATCAACAACCCAGGGGATCCAAGTTTACCCCGCAACATCATCGTTCGGCATCTGGTGTCCGGACCTTTAACCGCATGGTTCCACGGAGGAACCAAGCGGTTGTACCTGCCCGATTATCATTCATTATCTATCCTTTGCGCCGTCTTAAAGACTAGTGGCACAGAGTATCTGACCGTGGCCGTGGTCTTGGGAGCCCATTTAACCGCTTCATCCGCTTATACCACATGCCTGTGGGATGATCTCCGACGACATGAGCTTTGGCCAAGGACTTGCAACATTGCCATTCGGGGTCTGTTAACGCGAATAGCTTGGAGTAAAGGAATGAGCGCTGGTTATATGAGACTGGGACATTCATACTCAACCGAATTGCTGAACTGAAGACCTGGGGAAAAGCGGCAAGCTGGCAATATTGCAACAATCAGAGCTATTATCTCACTAAAGTTCCAAAATGGGAGAGATGCCACCATCACAACGGACTGTCCGAATTGGTGTTGATGTTGGAGGTGAGTCTGAGAGCTTCAACAGACAACTCAACATACCACGAGTGTCCAAACATGGAAACAGCTTTTTCTATATTGAAGAGACGCATGTTCTCGAAAGAGACCTGGCTGACAGCGTGGTTTCGAAGGAACAAATACGGATGCCGTCGCAATCGACTTAAGTCTCCAGAATACTGCGGACCGCGGGGTTCTAGCGCACTTCAAAACTCCAACGACCCCTGATGCAAGCGCAGGCATCGAGACCGCCGTAAGCACTGTTCTCGCAGCCGCCGGCCTGACAGATTCGCCAGAACGCATCGCAAGTGTAACCATCGGGACAACACACTTTATCAACGCAGTCATCGAACGTGATGTTCGTCGCCTGCAGCGTGTGGGCGTTCTCCGGCTCAGCAGATCCTTCTTGCGTGAAGTGCCCGCTTTCGCCGAGTTCCCTCCGGACCTAGCAGCCGTGATCCAGTCTTACGTGGGCATCGTCGACGGCGGATTACACATTGATGGCTCAGAAGAGGCGCCGATAGTGGAATCTCAAGTCGTTGCCGAGTGCGTCAAAATCCGTGAGAGTGGTGTCGGCGCTGTTGTGGTCTCTGGTGTTTACTCGCCCATCGACGAAGTCTTTGGGCAGGAGGAGAAGGTTCGCGATATCATTCTCCGCGAAGTCCCCGGCGTAGATGTTGTGTGCAGTAAGGAAGCTAGTGCGAGCATTGGCTTCATTGAGCGAGAGAATGCCGCCATCTTGAACGGTGCTATCCTGCGCTATGCAAGGAAGACTGTGAGCAGGTTCCGCCTTGCAATGAAGAGGCTCAATCTCTCTTGCCCTCTCTTCTTGACACAAAACGATGGCACTATTCTTGACGCGGCGTCTGCGGCCAAGATCCCGATCCGAACATTCTCGAGCGGCCCCACAAACTCGATGCGCGGTGCGGCGTACCTCGCAGGTCTAGACACTGGCGGCGACAGCTCTGCTATTGTAGTAGACATTGGTGGGACTACATCTGACGTTGGCGTCCTGCTTCCTTCAGGCATGCCTCGACAAGCTTCAGCGTACGTCACCGTGGCTGGAGTAAGAGTCAACTACTCCATGCCTCATCTCCACTCTGTCGGTCTCGGAGGGGGTTCCATCGTCAGAAACGTGGATGGCAAAGTTAAAGTTGGCCCTGAATCTGTCGGACTCGAGCTGTCCACACGCGCACTTGTCTTTGGTGGAGATGTCTGCACGACGACAGACATCGCAGTCGCGGCTGGCAAAGCAGTCGTAGGTGCAACTGAGCAGGCCAAGACCCTAGACGCTGCCTTTGTGGAAGAGGCCATCCTTCGTATCAAAGCACTGCTAGAGGGTGCAGTTGACGTTATCAAAACTTCACCCGACCCCGTCCCAGTACTCCTCGTCGGCGGAGGCGCCATTTTATCACCCGAAAGCCTGAAAGGTGCCTCCAAGCTCGTCCGGCCGCCCTTCCACGACGTTGCCAACGCTGTCGGTGCTGCCATTGCACGTGTATGCGGCGCTGTTGACATCGTGCAGGGTACAACTCACCAGACAGAAGGCCAAGCCATCGAGAACGCCAAGAAGATGGCCGTTGAGCGCGCTATTGCTGCTGGTGCGATCCCGGAAAGCATCAAGATTGCCGAAATCGAGACGATGCCGTTACAATATGTCGCCAACCAGATCCGAACACTTGTCAAAGCAGTTGGCGACATTGACCTCCATGCCAAGTTGGAAGAGGTAGCCGAGGACGCAGGGGAAGAGAACGGCGAAGAGCAGGCTGAAGCGACCAAAGACTTGACCCGGGCTACCATCGAAGAAGAGAAGATCGACCCAGCCAAGTACAAGCCGACCGTTACTCGGAATGCGAGCGGTATTTCGGAATGGCATATCACTGAAACCGACTTGGAGTATCTTGCCGATGGCTGTTACGTGTTGGGTTGTGCAGGCGGTGGGAGCCCGGCCGCGTCGAAGATCCAGCTTCGGAATATGCTCAGAGCCGGACACAAGATGCGCGTCATTGAGCCATCCTCACTGAAGGACTCAGATGTCATCTACTGGGGTGGTAAGTGGACTGGCTTTGACAAACCATGGGGTCCTAGTGATCAGCTAACTTTGACTAGGCCACATGGGTTCGCCCGCTGTCTCCATCGAACGACTGCAGTCTATTGAGACAGTAGATGCATTTAAGGGGTTGATGGAGTACCTTCGCCATGAGAAGTTCGACGCCGTAATGGGTCTCGAGATTGGTGGTGCTAACGGCCTCGAACCCTTCCTCGTTGGCTCGTCCCGGTTCTACGATAGCCCAATTATTGACGGCGACTGGATGGGCAGAGCATACCCAACGTACTGGCAAACGACATTGGCCGTACATGCTCCATTGGAGCTGGTGCCGTGTGCCATTGACTCCGGAGACGGCAAGACCATCGTCATGACCCGAGCGCCCAACGACGAAATCGTCGACCGTGCTCTACGCGCCTCCTGCTCCGAGATGGGTTCGCGCGTAGGCATGGCAGCCAAGCCAACTACAAGCGATAGAGTCAAGAAATTCGGCGTTCTGAATACAGTCTCCCTTGCATGGCGGATCGGGCGCTGTATTGCGCTATGCCAAGCGACGAACACCATGAGCACGGTCGCCGAGTCCATCATCAAGGAAGCCGGTGGTTTCGAAGCTGCCAAGGTCTTGTTCAGGGGCAAGATTATGAAGGTCGAGAGGCGCCTTTTCAAGGGTCATTCCTACGGTGAGGTACATATCGCAGCCTTCGAAAGCGGCGATGAAGACGAAGCTGCGAACAATAAGGAGCGGGTCGCTGCCGTTGCGCAAGGAGGCACGATGAAGATCCCTTTCAAGAACGAGAATATTCTGGCAGAGCACACCGATGATCGCGGCAAGACTAGCATAGTGGCTGCTGTGCCAGATCTCATCTCTATCCTAGACAATGAATCGGGCCGAGCTCTCGGGGTGCCTGAGTTCAAGTACGGGTACAGAGTAACAGTCATTGGAATTACTTGCTCGCCGAGATGGACCGAGACTCAAGCTGGTCTGGATATCGGCGGACCGAAGGCGTTTGGGTACGATATTGACTACAAGCCGCTTGGGAAGTATGTGGAGCCACGAAGTGTGCTGGAAGAATACTCCGACTAGATCTGGGTTAGATACGCGTCGGAAATGTCGGAACATCTTAAGCAGACAAATAGAATTAGATTTGCAAGACTACGCCTGAACCCGCGCAGTAGGTGAATAGCTGGACAAGACCTCTAAATAATGAAAGAAGCGAATGAGAATAAGTAGAGGTAAAAATGGGGTATAACATGAACCAAAGTAAGACACAAGGAAAAGAAAACATCGTCCTCTCATCATTACAACCAAGGCAAGCCTTAACAAAAGAAACAACGCATCCTCTCAATCCTGGTCGGGGCTCGACTTGGCACTAGAGGGCTTCTCAAACGTCACCTCCTGAGTCACCACAGTCGTAGTCCGAATGTGTCCCCGGACATGCTGCCCATCCATTACACTGTCTCTCTTGCTCTTCACCCGCGACATCTTGTCCAGGCTTTCGTGTGCTCCTGTGCTAACGCTAACGGTGTACTCAGCCGACGTCTCGCTCTCCTGACCGGACAACTCGACTCCTTCTTGGCAATTCAACCCGTCTGTGCTGCTCATGGGGCGATGGATTCCTAGCCCGCGCATGAAACTGGCTCTGTTGTTGCCTTCGCTAGCTTGAGCATAGGGATTGCCGTATTTCGATGGCCTTCCGCTGCTCCTGAATTGAAGTGAAGACGCGTTGAATAGGCGTGGCAGGAGAGTGACGAAAATGGGTCGGAGGGTGGGGAGGCATGCTGCTAAAATGCCGATAGCGACCTCGAGGAATGACCACGTGGCGGCGTCCACGTTATCCCAGTAAGGGTCTTTGGTATCTGCGGCAACGCGGAGGGTTCGGATTCTGAGTGCAGAGATGATGCATGTGCTGTTGAAAGACCAATTAGAATAAGAACTCTCAAGGAAGTGTGGATGGAAACTTACAAGAATCCGAGACAAAACACCACAAGCAACATTCGCTTCTGCTTACGAGGAAGTTGCAGCGAGTTAATGACCGGAATCGGCATGCTGAAAATGGCAAAGTCGGCTACAAGGTTGACTCCAGCCATGGTGTACCAGATGGCAAGGAAGTCTATGCAGCGACCTTCGATGGTCGAATCCCAGAAGGCCGCGACTGGGAGACACATCATAGGGAGAAGGAAGGAGAGCATAGCGGTCCACGAGATCATGAAAGCAAGACCCCACAGCGTCAACTTCTGCATGATGTCGATGGCGAAGATACGGCGATATTGTAATAGGATGGAAACCTTAACGAGGCAGGTCGCGATGTTGTACACAATGATCGAGGTATAGAAGGACTGATATTGTTGTAAGTACGGGCTTGGAATAAGGTAGAGGTGGTTTCAATAGCTTGTACCTTCATGTAAGGGACGTAGTCCTCGGGTGGAGGAACCCATGAGTGAAAGCCAAGGCCCCATTTGCTTTCTTCAAACTCATCAGTAGGAGGTTCTAAATTGCACGTGTGAAGTATCATTTGGACTCACCAAGCCCAATAGCAACAGCTGATCCGATGAGGAACATCTGGAAAAGGAATGGTGTTAGCCAGCAAGTCCAAGCCTCAGGGCCAGCTGTATTTATCGCTTACCTGGGCAACCACCATCACCGAGTCGTCCAGCCCAAAAGTTCGCAGCATCTTAACCCTAGTATAAACCCGAAGACTAACCGCCGCAGTCGACAGGACAGATCCAACAGCCAGAATGGCAACTATCTCTCCAAACCGGGATTGGCCATCGAGGGCATGGTCGATGGTGCTGACGGAGGCCTGTTGCTGAGTCTCTTGTATCGCATTGAGGTTTCTCACGAGGACGTTTGCCGCCATGTCTAACAGACCTCCAGATGATGTGCGTAAGTGGCGTAATTCGAGTTGATTTGTGAAGAACCAAGAAGAAGAAATAAGTCTTCATCTGTGATCGAAGAGTAGAGGCTTTCAGCCATCCTTATTGTATTCTCTCACCTCGCCTGGGAAATTTGCCCACCTCAGATCGAAACCCCAGCAGCCACAGGCCGTGTTTCCACCTGCACTGGTGCAATTTTCGAACTATCGGGTCATCTCTGCGGACATGGATACTCCCACTCGGTTGAACGTCGTAATAGAGGCTGAGTGGGAAGAGAGCGCGCACTAGTCACCTAGTCGATGGCTCAAGATCTTCCGTGGGGTAGCATTGGTGCCCTTGAGGCAACTCTGACAGGGATCGGCCATCATGAAGCCGTGAGAAACCAATCCGGGGAAGGGAATGAGATTCCGCCAAGCGTCGCGATGCAAGGGCCAACCCCCCATGTATACGACCTCTATCCCGATTCCCAACAGACTCGACACGCAAGGTGGCAGGCCGACATGATGGCAACTTCACGAGGAGGGGGAGGTGCTCCGGATGCACTCGCTAGCCAATTGCGGCTGCAGTCTCGACTGGGTTACAGATCGCTAGATGCCTGTCTGAAGGATTGCTGCAGAACATAGGGCCCGAACTTGCCCCTGAATCCAGCAGTAATGGATTGCGTAGCGCGGTATGTGAATTGTACCAATCGGCGACCAGACTGCTTGTCGCGAATCCTGCGCGTAGCCGAGTCTCGGAACTTTATTCGACGCAACCTTGGAGTGAAGAGCGGACTGTCGCCAGTTCGGGTGGCCTTTGCATGTTCGGATGAAGAGTCCCGCGAGATCCGGTGGCTTGAGAAGGTGGACTTGGCCTTGTTTGTGTGTAGCCGCCGACTGAGCAGAATATCGACGCCGTTAAGTCGGCACCGGGAGCTGTCACAGATCGCGGCCGACCGTGCAACCTTCAACGTCGGCACTAGCAACAGTGAGTATCATCGATCTCAAACCGACTTCTTCTTTCGCCGTCTTCATTTCCTGCGTGGAACCTTGGCGGGCGCCCACCCGACCGCACGCTTTGAGTTGCGCCTTGGATCAAATGTCTGTGAGTTGGTCTCGTTGCTAGCGTCAACGGTCGCTCTTGGAGGCCTGCCTCACGCGCACGTCCTGGGCACCTCTGTATCCGTAGCTCGGCCATGGCGCAGACACGCGAAGTCCACGTGGTATCAGGCAAGATTGATCAGCGAATGCAGAAACATCAGGAGCTCTCTGGGGGTTGAGACATTTTCGCACAGCAGTATCAGCCATCATGTGTGAGTTTGTGATCTTGGCAGAGTTCAATAGTGAGCAATAACCCTTCGAGATCGCAATTCAAGCGCCGATCAACTGCAATTTGAGACCAGACGACAGGCATCTTTTCTCCACGTCGGAAAGAACGGCTGCCACGGAGGCGGTGGCAGATCGTTGTGTCAAAATCATTGATACGCCCTATCGAGACCAAAAACAGCCAGGTAGGATTTCGTCATCCAGGAGACACCGGAAGTCTAATGTGAATATCGTCGAAATTGTCGGGTGCAGGGTAGTGAATAAAGATTGACAGGGGAAGTTAACGATGATCCAAGCCTATGTGTGAACTCCAAAAGTACGCACGATAGGTTACATCAGATGAGGATAAATCCACAGATGAGCCAGCAGCATTGGCCTAGCTTTGTCCTGAAGTAGACGGCAATGTGTTCGGGACGACTAATTGGTCTTCAAGACTCTTCAGTCAACCCGAAAGGGGAATACGGCACCTTTCAGCAGTTCCATCAGAACGATGATCTCTTCTCGTTAGTTGTGAGACCTAGCGGCTAGGCCAAAGAAACAAAAGAGACGTTGCTCCACAATCGAGGGCCTTTTTGGGGGCCAAGGTTGTAGCTGGGGGTAAATATTGACCAGGGCTGGGCGAAGACATCCACAAATGCCGTCCGAAACCATGCTGCAAATCGCAGATCACCACTCTGCCAATGTTTTGCTGATTGCAATCGCAATTTTTCAAGAAAGCCCCACGGGCCATGTGAGCATGCCACCTTGAAGCTAGGAGTTGCTTTACTTTGATCAGAACTCATGCAATTGAGGCAGAAAAGCATCGATGATCCGGGAGGAGCGCCGTCGCCAAAGTGCAAGATCTGGGGTCAAATTACTCAAAAGGTTGACTTTTGGACCCTAGGTACGATTTGGGCTGTTGAGATTGATGAATTCAATAAAGCCCAAGACACAGACCAAGTGAGCAGCAAACTCGCTCTTAGCTCGGCTAAGCAAAATAAGATTTTAGCCCGATTTGTTAGTCAAAGGACATCTCGAGTTTCGAGTTCATGGGAATACTTCCCCCGATATACCTTATCCAAAGCGGCCCCACCTGGATCCGCCTGTTCGCCGGGCTGAGCGGTCACGGATGACGGTCTGGAGTCGACAGTCACGATTCAAACAGCAAGCAGAGAAAGGGCGACAATTGTGATTTAAGTGGAAGGGCTTTAGAAACAAATTTCATCACGCCTTGATTAAACTCAGCAAACAGTACATGTCCTTCACAACTTGGGAACACCTCCCGCCGTCCCCAGAGTCTTGGTGTGGCTCTTATTCTGGTCGATACCCTCCTCCACCGCCTTGATCTGCAATGCCAGAATCTTAGAGTAGTACCGACAAATTGCGAGATTGCCGCCCATGAACCAGAAGCCAGGGTGCCCCGTCGGCCGCCACATGGTCCTGAACTCGCCCTCCTCATCCCAACCCCACACATCGCCGACACGATCGGCGAGCTCGTCGCCAAAGATGTTGCGCGCCTCGGTGCGCATGTTCTGGTATCCCGTTGCGAAGATGATCTCGTCGCCCTGCAGCTCCGAGCCATCCGCGAACCGGAGGCCGTTGGGAAGAACCTCTGTGATTTCCTGCCCGCTCTTGATCTTGATCTGGCCGTCGATGATGAGCTGGCTGCATCCGACGTCGATGTAGTAGCCGCCACCGCGCTGGAAATACTTGACGAAGAAGCCGCCTCCGCTGGGTCCCATGTCTAGGTTGAAGCCGGCTTTTTGGAGACCTGAGAGGAGCTCGGCGTCATTTGCATTTTGTACTTCCGTGGTGCCGACTTGAAGCGATTTGAAGAGCTCAGCGGGCAAACTCCATAGCCAGAGGTCGGCGTCGTCAACTGGAGGTGAGTCCTCGTCGTAGAGACCTTTCAAACCAATGTCTGTGATTGAGCTTGAGGAGACGACAGATGTTGAGCTGCGCTGTACCATGGTGACATCGTACCCTTGCTCGTAGAAATCCTGGGCAATGTCGTGACCCGAGTTGCACGAACCAACGACAATGGCCTTCTTGCCCTTAGAATTGGGCCTCGCGCCCGGGAACTCGGAGCTGTGACAGAGGCGGTCTCCCTTGAACTTGTCCATGCCCTTGATACTAGGGAAGAACATCTTGCCAGAGTGGCCCGTCGCCTGGATGACGTGGCGAGGGTGCAACGTCCGAGTCTCCTTAGATCCGTCGGGTTTTTGCCTGTCAAGGGTGACGGTCCACTGCCTCTTGGAATCATCCCACGAGGACTTGGTGAGTGTTGTTGACATCCAGACATTGAGCTCGAGAAGGCTGGCATACGCCTCGAAGAAGTCTCCCATCTTATCCTTGGGCGTGAATACGGGCCAATGACTCGGGAAGTTGATATACGGTAGGTGATCGTACCAAACCGGATCGTGGAGGACAAGTTGGTGGTATCGCTTGCGCCAAGAGTCTCCGATGCGCTGATGCTTGTCTACAACAAGGGCGTTGACTTTGAGCATCTTCAGTCGAGCGGCGATTGTGAGACCAGCTTGACCGGCACCTAAATAGTTGTCAATATAGTCCGACGGAAAGTTGGGCGCTAGAGGTCAAGATGCTTACCAACAATCACTACCGTAGGCTCGCTGTCAACGTAGTTAACGCTATCATCCCTCTTCTCCTTCCAATTCTTGCTTTCCCGCTTCTGGACGTGGTCAACACCCTTCTCTCGTCGGTGCCGAGTAGGCTCTTCATGACCTGCGATTTCGCGCAAAGTCGTAAAGAATGTGAAGATCTCCCACTTATCACCAGACTCAACCATGCGCACGACACCCTCACCAGGTCCGACATCCGTCTTGACCTTGATGAAGTATTGCAGGCATTGGACCTTGCCATGGGCATCGAGCGGCGCAAAGTGAGGTGCTCTGTACGCAGTGGAAGTATCGATTTGCACCTCCTTTAGCCTACACGCTTCACTGAGGAAACTCTCGATCTTCTCTCTGCCCTTCAGGGTGCGAAGATCCCAAGATAGCGCTAGGTGGTCCCTCCAGTAGCCGTCGGCGACGAAGAGTTGTGCGAGCTTATTGTAGTCCTTGGAGTTCAGTGCCGCATTGAAGGCGTTGATGACATCTGCCGCGGCCTTCCCCGCATCAACCGATGTTGAGCGAACGGATGGGGGATACTCGCGGGGCGGGAGGTTGACTGAGCCCGGCTCGATCCGTTCGCTTCGCACAAAGCTTCCTGCCATGATTTCGATGTATTTGGTGACTGGTCGAAGGTGGTGTTGTAGTATCTGATGGTCTGCCTGCAGATGCTTCTGGCGAGAATCGATGTCGGAATGCCTTCAAAGAAGGGTCGTAAAGGAGACTTTATGCAAGACGAGAGATCTTCATCCCCAGTAACAACTTCCCTTCCTCCGCACCGGAGGGCTGAGTCGTGACATCACCTGACAGTTTTGGACGCGACAACGCATTTTGAGGGGGTCGTCCGGGGATAGATCGGGCAAAGAAACGAAACTCTGTCGCACACACTCCACGAAGCAATGGCGTCCTGCTGTGCCGCCTTAGCTCTCAACAGTTTTTCCCATCTGTAGCGGTTTTGTGGAGTTTGGAGGCGCCAAGGGCCGCATACTGTCTCTCAGTTGCAGACGATAGTGCGCAACCGGCTTCCTCGAATGCGGGGGAACGGGGCAACTGGGAGATTTACGCTTGGTCCGACGGGCAAATCATAGAGCTTCAGAATGTTTCTGCCAAGTTGGACGCGCTTTGCTTGGATGGATTAGCTTGAACTCTGCCTTGATACGGGCTGTCTGGACCCGCCGGCGGTTCGAATTACCCCAGACTGAGGGGCGTTGACGCAGCTCGGTGACAACTAAGACGGAGCTTCTCCGCACTTGAGGTCGCGGGGTTGGCAAGGGATGGTTGGTTTCCCAAGATCTAGACACTATGCGAGGTTACTTCAAGCTTTGGTAGAGGCCCAGAGGTTTGGGCATTGGATGCATTGCATATTGCTATCTGAAAGGTGATGATCTGATCTACAGCCCTCTCGAAAGACTTTACAAATGCCTGAACCGTTCATCCCACGATGCAAGAGAGCCAAAGGGTCCTCGTCCCGGGCACCTTTTGGTTTGCCTCAGACCAGCGTCGGTGGGGGTTGAGTGCGGGGAAAGGCGCGGGAACATGCATGAGAAATCCGGGGCAAGGGAAGCTAAGTCCGTAAAGCACATTTCCGCGTTGCGGCGTTGCGGTTCCGCATTGCCGCCCCATTGCGGCTCCGGGTGGTGTTTTCCAAATCATCAACCGCTAGTTGTGCGGCGACTCTTTAGATAAGAGGCTAAGAGCTAGTCCAGTCGACAGATGCTTCTAGCTGCATAGCGGTTTAGCTAGGGAAATGCACCTGACGGTCTCTCGATGCAAGAGTGTCTGCAAGTTTCGAGATCTACGAGATCTGCATATCGGGCCATCGGAAGACAGGGCAACTCTCGTCAGTGGCACACATTTACATCCCCTCAGTACTAGGTATGTTTGAAGTCATTGTCATAGTTATCGATGGGTTTCTCATTGGTCTATTACTTCTCACGGCTGTACAAGCAGCTTGTCCATGGCATTCATCAGGGAATGAATTCATATCAGCAGGTGAAGTAGGTGTCTGATTCTCTCAGTTTAGATTCTATGCGCCGCCAATATTTAGTTGTCTAGTAGACCCTCCAATACATGTAGTAGTCTAGTACATTGTAAGGCTCGCGACATAATGTAGTAATGAGATTGACCACAAGGATCCTGCTATGGAGCATTCAGTACAACTCAATAAGGCAAGGCTGATCTACGTCCAAATCTTTATGCATTTCCTCGTGGAGACGGATGTCATGCTCAGCGTATCGCTTCGTACCATCAGACGTAACACATACCGCCATGCCAATCACCCGACCTCTTCTGACTGGCTTTGGGACCACCCCAGGCTGACCAGGCTCAGCCGTGCTCTCTGAAGCGGACTCTTTGGGCCCTGCAACTGGGTAAGGCTTACTTCGTTTCGGATACTTCATCCACCTTATATGCGGTGCTTCGACAGGGATTCCAGTGGCTGGATCAATCGGAGCAGAAAAGGGTATAGGGGAATATTGTGTGTCTTCAGGTCCGCGCTCGATCCTTAGTACCAACATAGTGGCCATGTGTCGCCCCGTCTCGTCATGTCGCATGATGCACGAACGCCTGGCGGGATCCTCTTGGAGACGCCAAACAGGAATCATGATATCCCCAGGGAAGAGAGTGCGAGGACCAAAGCCGTATTCGCCCCGAGACCTGAATGACGGGCTAAGGTCTTCTGGGAGGTCCCGTGGCTCTAGACTGAAGAAGACGTTCTCTTCCATCATTGTGTAAATCTGGTCTATAAGCTTGGCCTGGTCCGAGGTGAGTTGGTGTCGCTGTAGTTTGCAAAGATACTTGAGGGTATTTCCGATGAATCTTTGCTCAGGCGGTATTTTGGAGGGGTTGCGAAAGCGTAACATGTTCCAGAATAGCATCGCAATGATGTCAATCTTCTCCGAGTCGCCTTCCGCATATGGGAAGTTGGATGGGAAGAAATTATAACAGAGTATGGCGAGTTCATGCAACGGAGAGAAGGAGTCTGGGTATCCGTCGGGTGCATCTGCGAACATGAAGCTGTCGACCGTACGGCCTCTGGGGCCACCCGAGGAATCGTACCAGCGGATGAATATTCGATCCTGCTTGAACAAAAACCGCGTGGTACGGTCGTCTGTCCAATTTGGTGTTTTCCCGGGGATCTCTTGCACAACCCACTCGTCTCCAATGGGGTTAACAGGTGGCAAGGCAAATGTGGAGGCGGACTCCAAGTCCATGACAACAGCAACCTCTGGAAAGCCAGGCTTCTCGGGATAGTCAAATGCATCGACGTTGCTGCTCATGTTGTAGAATGGTAGGTTTCTACGCCGTTCTGTGGTCCAATTCGGCACCCATGACGGGTAATAATCGTCAGATTCCCTAAGCGGCCCGAACTCAGCCAGGTGAAGCAGCATCTGTAAAGCAGTCTTCTGACCACGCTGAAACATCGCCAGTGCAAGCCTTCGGTACAGAACTGACCAGTGTTGTCGAAGATCCAGGTAACTTTGCTGGTCCATAATTTGCTCATGGTCCGGTATCAAACCGACTAACGCAGCAATCCGATCCTCTGGCTCCCTACACTTAGCAGCGTGGAAATTCCAGAGCAACTGGAGGATCGGCTTCCGCTCTTCGCTCAGACTCTTCATCATTAGAATTTGGTAGTGGTATTGGAACGCGTATAGCTCTTTGACACACTTCAATCGCCGAGCAGCGACGACAAACCAAGGCAAACCGAGAGAAGATATTCCACAGTGGACTTTGGCCTCTTTGGCTAAGCATGCCTCCTGGATAATCCAACGGCGCGAAAACCAAGGTCGGGAGAGGAAGCGCTTGAGGTGAAGGATGTGGTCAGCCCCAAGTTGGTTCTCAGTGATTTTCAATGTTGCGTCGGCCATTGTTTTCGCTTGTTTTGTGTCCGGGATCATTTGCATCATGCGAATGGCAGAGAAGATTGCTGCAGTCTTGTCGTCTGGGTCACCGAGCCATATGTGGACTTCTTTTGCTCCTTTGTAGATCCGGCCCATGCGAGGGAGTTGTTGCGCTTTCTCACCAGCATCTTGCTGATTGAGGCAAATGGCATTGATCCAAAGGGATCTTGTGGTAGAGGACTGTCGCAGGGCTCTCAAGAGTGAATCGACTGTCGGGCTGATGTCGAACGAAAATGCACCTTCAATTATCAACTGACAAGACGGTGGCGCGTCTCCCCAGGTGTATGAGACGGCCTCAAAGTCCTTTTTTGTGCCGAAGTTCTTCATCTGCTCCACTTTGTCGTATTGAGCTAAGGAGCACCGCAGAGGAGACTGGGCATCCGGAGCTGGGTCGAGGATGACGATCCGAATCGAGTCCGGGCTCCGCAGAGGCGAATATTGGTATGGAACGATATTATTAGAGCTCATTTTGCAGATAATAGAGAAGTAATAACTATGAGCTCTTTATGAGAGAATGATGAGTTGGAATGATGCGTTTGCAATGCTATCAACATCAGCGGAGACCAATGCTAAGACTTAGGCTTTTATGGAAACTATGAGGACATGCTGCAACTACAACTTGATGCGTGATTACATGTGCGTACATAGCAGTTTGCGTGACCAGAACGAGGGTTTCACGAAATATCAAGGCGTTCGATGCTACTCGCATGAACACCTGCCCATTTTGCGTTACAGGAGGCACGTCGCAGTCTAGTGCAGAATGGCATGTTCATGTTAGTTCCCGCAACCGCCTCAAGAAAACTGAATTCATTCCAGGTATTTAGAAACGATTGGAAGGGGTGATCGGAATCTCCTATGGTATTGCAAGCTAGAACAGAACTCGGGGGTTACGAAGTGAGTTGTGAGTGACACGAAATGCCTCCAAAGCCAAGCCACGAAAAGGCCCGGATAACGGTCTGATGCTTGTACGCCTGTCGGAGGAAACTGTGCGGAAAGTTACATTATAGATTGAGACACTTTGCTCTGAGTATTACACAACGAGGATCATGTGCTCGGTTGTGAGAATGTTGATTGAGTCTTCAAGTATAGCCCCACGGTGGCTTGTAGACACCGGCATCGAGGGGTTTCACAAGCGACAAGATGCAGACTCAAGCTGGTATTAGTCAGTCCTTCGATACGTTTTGCAAGTTCTGCTCCAAATTACACCCGGTCAAAGGATGACCTCTTGACTAACATCTGTGAAGATGAAGACTGTGAGGATAACGAGCTGCAGCATCTGAACTTAGAAAAATCATTTGGGAAAAAGGGGGAATCATCGGCGGCAGGTGGTTGCCTGGCTCAATTGTATACCAAGACTTTTGGCCATGTCAACTGTTGTACTCTAGCCAATCCGTCTCAGTCATTCACTTCCAAAATCAAGTGTAGACAGGTCACAGGAACTGAGAGTGGCAAGTGTAGGTTTTATATGAAATGATTCTCATATTTCAAACATGAGGACGCCTCTGTACAAAGGATCGCCCGATATCTAATCGCATTTACATCCAGTGTCTTAAGTCATACGTATGTACAAGAATAATGTGTTGAGCACTGCTAATACCAAGTGGTGATAGCATAGCTCAGGGGTTTATGTCCAAAAACTTCTTCAACTCTTCTCTCTCCAACTCTCTTTAATGCTTTAGAAAGAGGCAGCACGGGCAAGCTTGCGACGCATGGAGCGGACGCGGCGGCGAGCAGCAGACTTCTCGCAGTCGTCACCCTCACCAGCGGCAGCGGTGGGAGCAGCAGAGGGCTCAGCGGGGCTGGTGCTGTTGCCGCCGTTGTAGTCGGGAATGCCGGCAGAGGGAGCAGCGGAGGTGGAAGGGGTGGTAGGAGTAGTAGGGGTGGTGGGAGTGGTGGCACCATCGGAGCCAGTGCAGTCACCGTCGGAGGTCTGGCCGAGAAGGTTGGCGGTGTGGTCCTCGCATCCGGAGAAGGCAACGGGGCCACCGGGAACGGTGTAGTTCTGGGGGGCGGGGTAGTAGATGTTGATCAACAGACCGGGCTCCTCGCCGGTGTAGACGCCGGGGAACTTGACGACGGGCGAGGGGGTCTCGGTGGAGGTACCGGTAACGGAGATCTGAGCGCAGGCAATGTAGAACTGGGCACCACCCTTGGTGCCGGCGCCGTGGAGGCCAATGTGCTCAGCGCGCATCAGGTACTCGCCGGTGGGGACCTCCTTGGGGAGAGTGAAGGTGAAGTTGTGGATACCAGCGTTGTTGACGTAGGTGGCCCACTGGAGACCAGCCTCGGTGATGTTGGAGGTGGAAAGCTCGTAAACCTTGAACCAGTCGCCGTCACCCTTGTAGGAGGCGACGCCGGAGGGAGCCTTGGAGAGGTAGACGGCGAGGGGACCGGGGTGGCCCATGTCGTTCTCGACGATGAAGCCGACCTCGTCACCGGCGTTGACGGCCTTGGTCTGGGTCTTTGCGAGGACGTCGTCGTCGTTGCCGCCAATGTTGCAGACGATGCCGTCGGAGGTAACGTCGGTGACGGGGGAGTTGGAGTTCTTGGCCTCGCGGACGTACTGGTAGCGCTCGGTCTGCTCACCGTTGACGATGAGAGTAGGGAAGACGTAGTGGGCCATGGCCTGGGGCACGACGGCCGCGGCGGCGAGGAGAGCGAAGGAGCGCATCTTGATTTTTGTGTTGTGTTGGTTTTGGTTGGTGAAGACCGGTTGGAAAGATCGGACAGGAAGAAAATGAAGAGGTTGATTTTCCACCAGGGAATGAATGAAAGTGAAGTTTCAAAAAGAAAGAAAGTGGTTTGTACAATGACAAAAGACACAGCGATGGTTGAGAACGAAGAGAGAATAGAGAAAAGAGGAAAATGACGAGAAGAAATGGTTGTCTTATATCGAAGATATCTCACCACCCCTGGGCACGAAGAGCATGGGAACTCTGGACTGTCAGCCGCCATGATCCATCATCCCATCCACATTCCTGATGAAATTTCTCCCCACATCATGGCAGACTACCCTCATCTGGACAAAGATCCAGGCATCATGGGCGCGAAAAGGGGTGGTGAAAGGGCAAGGATGGCTAAAGGAGTTCGACCTCGTTGCCTCGCCCAACCAGGATCACACGATAGGAGTAGGCTTCAGTGACGATTTGGTCGAAGTGCCCTTCGTTTGAAACATTGGAGCAACATGTACGCGGGATCCATTTCCCACCAAACACGGTCGTCGACGCCGGCGAGCACCCCTGGATTGGGGTCGCAACTAGAGTACGATTGACGACATTGACCCCCTGGGCTCCTCACGAGCCGCCCACGTTGTCGAAATCTGTGGAAATACAGTCGCCAAGCTTGGCTCATGCGCCGATTCCCCTTCTGCTCCTGTTCATCTAAACTCACAGCTCGCTTGCAGCACATACCCTTGTAAGCGAACCTGGCCCGAGCTGGTCGAAGCCCCGAATCGGTCGCTTGTAGATTGTTCTACATCCACAGTGGTCACCCTTATTCGTCCTAGCCGCTGGCGGCTTTCTGCGCCTGCATGCCCGTAGCGGCGTGAAAGGCTTGTCGGGGTTTGGCCGTTGGCGAACTTGGTGCTGTCAATTTCGGGCGACAAGCCCGGTTTGCCTGTCAATACCCGATTATTGGTACTCTCGCGGCTTGACAGTCCTGGACTTGGTTCCAAGTGAATACACGAAACTCTGCCGTATGGCCAGTTCCGCCTCTCCCGGAGTTCAAAGTCTTTACAAAGCCATTACAAAAACAGTTGAATCCGCGTAAAGAGCGTCATAGACGAGCGTTTCCCCAGAGTCAATATGTGTAGCTTTCGTCTCAAGAGCGATCCCGCGAAAAAGGTTATGCCACTCTGAACTCTGTTCTGGCAGTTCTGGTTCCAGATCGACGCGGCCGTGGTGGGATTCACCTGAAACCTGGGTCCAGGGGCGCGCAGCGAGGAAGAAAAACTCCAACTGGCGGCTATTCCCTGTCGCAGATCACTTTACACGGGACGAAAAGCCCCCCACCAAAAAGAAGAAAAGGAGGACGGCGCTTGGGTGCATTTTCAATTCTTTGGCGGCAGCTCCCAGTCGCAAAGCAATCGTTGGCAGAAACTCGGCACGTAAAGCCGAGTGAATGACTTGGATCAACCTGGATTCTTGACTGAAGTTTTGGCGGTTTCCCCTCTCTTGCTGCGGTGTGATGGCCAAGGAGAGAGGCCAGGCCAGGCCAGACTAGCATCAACCCCGACAACTGTTGTCATCACGGCTTACTAGTCGGACCCAGCGCTTCACAACTAAAGTGAAAATAAAGTGTGATCGTTAAGTGCCGCCCTGCCGAGATATCATAATAGCACTCACTAAGAACCAATCCAGCGAGTCGAGCGGCGCTGGTCCGGACGTTCCAGAGGCCAAATAACAGTCGAAATTAGGCATGCAACTCCGCCGAGATTTCTTAGTCAGACCAAGAGAACCGCTTCCTCCGGGTTATGCTTCTCCTGTTTCTCCTCTTGTCCAAGCCAGTCTCCATCGAAAAGGGGGGGCATGCCCGTCAGAGAAAAATAAAGCCGGCTCCATAGTCGATTTACGTCTAATATCGGGCTCCATGGCTGAGCCGCCCGGTGGGATTACCTATTCGACCGAACCTGTCGACGCCCCCGAAATACTCGGATTCTGCTCCGTCTACACGCAAGATCGTCATTGTGGGCGATTGCGCCCCGATATTTCGCAACAGAGTCTTCGGCATCCACCGACATTGGTTTATTGGGCCACTTGTACACTTCCCAGTCAATAACACCGTTGACGGGACGAACCAAGGGATGATGATCGCAGCAACTCGACTCAGTCACCTAGTAGTAGGATTCGGATCCGCCCCCAGCCTGTCGTGCGTGCTTCCCGCGATGCGACCGTCCGGAGCAGTGCCCGAGACTGGGCAGTGAGTTGGACTGACGATCCCACTATCAGCTCCGAGGGCGCGGTACTGACTTGCGACGGTTGTCTCAACTTCATTGACGCCGACGATCGGCTCCCGGGCAGTGTAACCCGGTGGGCCTGCTAGCCTGATTGTCCCGCCCCCATGAGCCGAAGTTGGCGACTCGAGAGTCAACGTGAGTTCCCGACGAGACAGTACCAAGACCTGCGTTATGTGAAATGGCCCAAAAGGATCTCGCTGTCTCTCGTATATTTTTCTGCCAAGCGGACGAATACTATCAGGTTGTGATTTCTAGCAGCGAGTTATCGCGAAAATCTTCAACCCGTCGGCTTCCCTTACTCGCCCAATCTATCTGATCAATCACGTAAGCCATGTGCTGTGACGCCCAGATTTTAGCTTGTCTCATCACTCTCGCTGACAACTCTTCCTTATTTACTACACACTACGCGTTGTCAGCTTCTAGCCAAGAATCTAGTGTCTCGCGGCTATGCTATTGATATTGCTTTCAATCAACAGAGCAATTGCTGACAGATGAGCCGACAGGAGGCCTAGTC